CATGGATGGGGAAAGGACTAGGGTCCCTCTCAATCATGGCTTTGTCACTTTACCCTTTTCTGTGTGGTCTTCTCTTCCTCACCAAGTGTAGATGGTCTGTTCTGCAGTCTTCAAGTCATTTTCAGTGTTAGTTTTATTTGCTGTAGTTGCTTCTTTGGTGTATATGTAGGAGATTTCTGCCTTGCCTCCCTACTTCCCCATCTTCCTTCCTTTCCTCCATCTGTACGTTTTAATCAGCAATGTCTGACATATGGTGGTGCTCAGTAAATGTTTCTTGAGAAAAAAAACTCAACCTATCTTAGCTAGCAGAGTAGATGAACTCCAGAAAAAAACTGTCTGATTTATTTAGTTCTGCAGAATATTTTACTCCCTACAATGTATATACCATATATCCAAACCTTGATTTTGCTTAGAGGAAAATTTTACCTATACTTTTCTAGTTCACAAATTGTTAAGATACAACTGTATTTAAGGCACCTTTTGTTTCTTCCTGAACCTATCTTCTACTTGGATTAGTGATAGGCACCTGAAATCATAAATAAGTTGGAAGTGGGGTAATAAGTTATCATTGGCACAAATTTTCTTTACCAACATCTTCTGATTCTTTTCCTTGGAATGAATACAAAGTATAGGATTAGATGTGACCTTTATTGTTTTCTAGTCCAGTCTGCACTTTTCAGTCTTTTGTGCACAGGGAAAAAGTGAGGCCTAAAAATGTTGAGTGACTTGAAAAAGCCTGTGGCTAACAGCAGGATATACAAACTGGTGGAGAGGCAGATATCATATTTGTAACAACAGTAATAGTCAAAATCTTCAGGAATCTATCACTTGACAAGTAGGATGCAGTTCTGAGACTGGAAGTGCAGTTCTTGCACATTTACTGTACAATTATTTGACTGCCTTGAATTTAGCCTCTGACCCTTCAAAACTGTCTGGAATTAACCCAAAATATTCTGGTGTATTTACCAAGGATTTGAGCAGCACCAGTGCTTTCTGTTATAGCTTCTGTGCTGTCCTACAGATTCTTTATTAACGACTCTCACAATGAATGAAGTTATGTTGGAGAGTTTGTTTACTGTTCTGATTGGCTTCTATGACTTTTCACTGGATTTATGATTTATTTGAGATATAGTCTGTTATCTAAATTAAGTTGTTACCTAATAAACTGGGAGATAGGCACTTCATTATTTCTCCTTTTGGTTCTTCCACCATCACAACTTCAAACTTCATGGTCTAGTCTTCTGGAGTGTGGTTACTGCACTAAATTTCTTCATCATTTAAACATAATTCTTATCTTCTTATAGAAGGGTAGTACTTTCTATTTTGGTTATGTAGTTAATGACAGTGGTGTATATATTAACTATTACAAATTGCTACTCTTCATGCTGCTTATGGCTACAAGGCTGTTCTCTAACTGACGGCTTCTATTTGCTTCTCGGAGAAAAAGTATGTGCTAAGCATGTGGTTTAGCTTTATTTCTTTTTATATCATTGTATCTTATCAGGTTAATGAAATTGAGATGTGTATCAAATAAATAGGTTCAGTTTTTATCAAATACATTTTTATATAATGCAGCTTTTAATAGTTTAACTTTCAAGTTTAAAATTAAAGTAGTTATGTGCCCAAATATGAAAGAGCAAAAAAAAGTGTTCCCGAGAACATTGTAATATGTATCTCAGAGATAAAACCTATATAGTAAGATAAAAAAGTACGCATATTAAAAATTTATAAAAGGCTCTCATGAAGATTTTGATCTATAATTTTGTATTACTTTCAACTGAGAGTCTGTACTTTATTTCTCAGAAGCCCAGGATACCCTACAAATGTAAACTGTATAAACCTATACTGCATCTTTGACAGTACTATCTTTTATGCAATACGGCAGTCCTTAGGGAACATTAATTGCTAGCTATCTTTTAGCTACTTAAGGGCAATTACCGTGTACTTATGGAATGAAGCATTCATTTATTTATTGCCTTTCTCTTACAAAATCCCATAGTACTTGAGTCAGGGAGATAACAGTGTAAATATGCCTACTTATTTTTGTGGGGATTATTCTTTTCTCCATCTCTACCATCCACCTCAGCAGCACTACCAAAACCCTTTTATGGGGCTTACTCATATTAGTTTAAACTAAAAGTTTATTTCTACTCCCAAGCATATTGAGTCTATCTTATTTTAAAATTATCTTTTCTCTTTTCATCTCTCCTTTCTCTCCTCTGCCTCTATCTTTCTTTTTCTTGAAATGGAACAAGAACCTTAATTTAGGGATTTGGCTATGTAGAGGTCACTGGTCTCATTTTTAGATAAGATTGTTAGAGATGTAAAGCAATCACTGTGGCTGTTTGGGTGTTCATGAAAAATAAACTGAATATTTCAAACAGGCAAACAAATATTAAAGACTATCTTATTAAATCTGTTCAATTGATTCAGGATAAATCATTCCTATTACTCCATAGGGCTATACATCTTTTCTCCTCACATACTTTTGTGTGTGTGTGTACATTTATATGTGTATATATAGATAATATGTGACTGAAACACATAGAAATAAATGAAAAAATCACATAATTGTGATTTAGTGAATGGAGAAAATAAAGATATGGTATTTTCAATGTTTTAATTCATTTGCACACTTATTTCCAGATATTTCATGTATAAATACACATAAGAGGAATTTGACATCTTCCTGAAACTGTTTAAATGCTTGGCAAAGATTCATAACCCAACATTAAATTACCTTTTTCTTTCCAGAGAGATGCAAAACAGAAGGAATAACTTGAAATGTTCATGTTAAATTAATGACAAGGAAGTCAGAAGATATAAAAGAAATAATTAACATGTTTATAAATTCTTTTTTAGACTATAATGTTTACTAGCTGAATATCCCCAAATTTTACATTTTAGAGGTAATTTATTTCGCTAACCTAAATATCTTCCATATTTTAGAGACTAATATTATGTTATTTTATTCATATTGTCATTCATTTAATGTTACTTAATTCAGATAAAGTATAAAACTCTGACTCATTCACTGTGATACAGCAAAAGTAAAATAAAAAAGAAAGAAAAGAAGAGGAAAGAATACTATGGGTTTTAGAGTCAGACCTCAGTTTGAATACAAGTTATGCCATTTATTATAGATTAGAGGTCCTTACATAGGTTAATTAACCTATCTGAGCTTCAGTGGATAATGATACTCATAACAATTGATATGAGGATGAATGGTAAGTTATATGCACAAAGTTCCTGGCACAGAGTACCAAAAATGATTACCCTTTAATATGGCTTACTCCGAACCACATACTGTGCTAAATGTGTGTACACATTTACACACTTACAAATTTAATCCATACAACATCCCTATGGCATAGGAGTTATTTTGGCTCTGTTTTATAGATGTGGAAGTAAAGGACAGAGATACTAAATAGTTAACCCAAAGCTGCACAAGTCTTATGTGTCAGGAGCAGAATTCTACCTGGGGTTCATCTGTTTAATTATCTATTGCTGAATAATAAACCATTCAAAATTTAGTGGCTTAAAACAACAGTCATTTTATCTTCTCTCATGATTTTATGGGTTGACTGGACTATGCTGGTGATGCCTTTGCTCCACAGGAAGACTGCTGGTGGGTGTGGTAGAGGGGCGGGGTTGCAGTGTCTGAGATGGTTCCTCACGAGGGGGCATTTACAGCTGACCACGCTGCGAGCTCAGATAGAGCTGTTGCCAGAGATGGGACTTCATCTCCACTTTGCAGGACTGCGTGCAGCCTCAGCACTGGAGGCCAGTTATAGGAAGGAGAGGTGCGAGAGGATAAGCTCCAAAGTACAAATATGTAAGATACCACTCCTTGCACCACACTTGCTGATGTTCTTTTGGCCAAGGCTAGTTACATGGGAAAGCACAGAATCAATGTGAGAGACAGCGATGCAAGGGCATGAAAAACTGGAAGGCTCCATTAAGGCCACTAAAGTAACAGCCCACCACAACAGCTGTCATCACAAGTGCTCTTTTGCGTCCTCCAATGTATTATAGCTGTCAGTAATTTGCTCCCCGCAGGCAGCATGCTGGCCAGTGTCTTGCTGGAAGGACTGAAGAGTTTCAGACATAGTCAATTACATGTTTTCAATAAGTTTTTACACTTTCCTGCTTCCAAATATGACATAAAATTTCACTTTCATATAAATAATTTTTTAAAAAGATTTCAGTTTTTATGAGAAAAAAATACTTTCACAGATTTAAATTATTTTTATGGGTTTTTAAATGCCATTTTGCATTGGGTTTTATGTGTTGTAATTTATTAGTGAATGAAATAAAGAGAATATAGTTAAGCTTTATGTCCTATCATTATTCAAATAAAAGTGGCTATACAGCAATCTATTTCTTAGAGTATATGACTAATTTTGCATTTTTAAGAAATTCTCTTTAAAGGAATGGCTTTAATTACACTATCTCTGTAGAAACAGGATTTTTCTCCGAAATTATAATTTTTTTTCATTTTATATAAATTAAAATAATTTAATTGCAATGACATTTATGTAGAGGGGTTCCATAGAAAACTTCTTGTTTAAAAGTTGTACTTCAGATATGGCGTTCTATATTTGTATATGAAAGTAACTTCTAAACAGAAGTATTTTCCCTTAATGATCCAAAATATGTTTCTTCCATTAATATTGAAATTTAGGTAGCTTTAGAAGTGAATAGCTCATAGAAATTAGGAAAAAAAATGTGACCATTTATTCTTGATTCATTACTTTAAGTTGAATTAGCAAATGACTTACAAGTAGTAAGTACCATTTTAAAGCTGTTTGGTGACCAATGCAAACTCTGATAGTGTCATAGCCTGATACCAAGACTCTTAAGGGTGAATCAGAAAATGATATCTGAAGTAATTGCCTATCCCCTTAAGGCTGTGCTATTGCTGCTAATTTTTTGTTTTGTTTTGTTTCAGGAACTGAGATAGATATGTAAAAGAAGTAATGAAGAAAATCAGTACTTACTTTTTGTGACAACACCTTCTAGGCGAATGATATTTGGGTGGTCAAATTGACCCATGATACTAGCTTCTCTTAGAAAATCTCTTCTTTGCCGATCCATGTGGCCACCTTTCAAAGTTTTTATTGCAACTGGGATTTCTCTTTTTCCAGGAGTCTTCAAGCGCCCACTACAGACTTCTCCAAATTCTCCTTAAAATATGAACAAAAGTAGTTGTTCGTTTAAACAGAATTGTATTTCAGAAGAACTGAATTGTCATGTAGTACCATCTTTTTGTTTTTTAACATGACTGTCAAATGTGTCATTTTTATATTCTTTCTTAAAAATTACATTTTTAATGGCGATATTCTTTTTTTTTTTGAGAGGGCATCTCTCATATTTATTGATCAAATGGTTGTTAACAACAATAAAATTCTGTATAGGGGACTCAATGCACAATCATTAATCAATCCCAAGCCTAATTCTCAACAGTCTCCAATCTTCTGAAGCATAACGAACAAGTTCTTACATGGTGAACAAGTTCTTACATAGTGAATAAGTTCTTACATGGTGAACAGTGCAAGGGCAGTCATATCACAGAAACTTTCGGTTTTGATCATGCATCATGAACTATAAACAATCAAGTCAGATATGATTATTCATTTGATTTTTATACTTGATTTATATGTGAATCCCACATTTCTCCCTTTTTTATTTTTATTTTTATTTTTTAATAAAATGC